AGTACCACGAGACGATGAAAAGGATTAAATTTAGAGTGAAAGTCCATGTTGGATTACCGGTCCGTTATCCAGAGATATCATTGGTCTTGAATTTCCCTCTTAAGATTTGGTTTACGCTTTTCGATAAGTCTCTTTCTTACATCTCGGACCGACACATGTCTGATAGCAGTGTCTGAGTTTCGAGTCTGTCGTGGCGCCATGCTGCACTCGCGTTGCAAGGCGCGTTCAGCGGGTGCTTTTCGTACCTAAGCTGCGTGTATTCGCCATGAATCGACTAGCGGTATACTCAAATGCATATGGCAGGGGGAAACTCCGAAGCATGTCATATGTCGAGCTTCAGGACTTTAGGCACACTGAGTAAAGCCTAAAAAACCCAAAGGCTTCCCTGAGCTGCAGAGATAGTTCCGTGTTCGACATTGACGGAAAAGGGAAAATATCGAGGGTCTTGTATACGTATACATGGCCTGTTCAGGAGAAATTAGAATGCTAGTGGAGCTTATGAGAAGCTGCGGAGAGAGAGCGAGCTTTTAATCATACAAGTCTGATTCAAAACCTTGAATGATGATGATATAGAGAGTAATCCTACTGTTCTCTTAGATTCTCCTGGGTTGCAACGAGGAGGTAGTCAACTATGTACCCAGAAACTCTCGTTATGATCGTCCTTTTGCCTATCATGAGATGTGTTGAGTAAGAACAGAAAACTTCTGACCGCAAACGAGTACTTATTAGAGTTTGGAATTAGTCTCCAATGTTCGATTCTTGATAGACATAAGTGGGAGTAAATCTAAATGCAATGCAAGTCATCCCCTTCTCCGTTTTTCTTTGTTTTCTATCAATATGTCTTTGCCGGTTACAATCAATGGTACTTAAGCTCATAACTTAAATCATCATACATTAATAAACCGCTATCTCAGCTTTCCCAATTAGATGTCTATGTTATGATTGGGATCCATTACATATACATTGAGCTCTTATCTTCGAAATCAGACCTATACACCCCTGTATCACAAGTCGAAAGGTGGTACATACATTGTTTCCTTTTTCTCTCTCGTGCGCTCTTCTGACTAGTACTGAGTTTCAATACGATCCCACGTTCAGAGATGCTTGCACGCCAAACGCTAAATCATTGTTTCTGTGTATACGTACACAAAATTTGCGAGGTTTTGTCATGATCGTGGAAAGGAAACATCATTAGGATGAGTCAAAGAAGAAAAAAAGCAAAATCGAGGTTGCTTGAGATTTCTCTGGGCCCCTAGAATATTAGCGTTTCTTCCTGCTTCATCGTTCTAGTCGAGTATGTAACAATGTTCAGATGCTGTCTTGGAGGACATCACTGACCTGCGTATTTCAACGAAACGACAGAGGTACTGCTTACTGGTAATATTTCAACTTTCAATTACGAAATTCAAGTTTGGAGGTTAAGTAAAGGTAAAAGTAGTACTTACATACTTGCATAGTGCTGAGAGGTGCAATCCTCGTATCGCCGTTGACTTGAGCACCCATGTACTACCCAGGGTACATATGTGGCATATAGGTTATAGGTAATCTTGAATCGTACTAACCCTTAACCTACATATATATCGAGAATATCAATGTTTAGTAGATCTATCCGAACGCTTCTGCAGAAGTTCAAAGAATTCCGATATGATACTGAACAATTGTAAACTAATCGAAAGGAAGCTTCAAAGTTGGAAATTGAAATCAAGTTTCATTATCTTTTGATCATCGAGTTTCAAGCTCGGAAAAATACCACTCGCACAGCTTCACTTGACTCCATGAACGTTTTTCAGAGGCTAAGATTCAATTTATGGGGTACCTCCAAGAGTGATCTTAATTCGAGAGGGAAAATATGTTTTAATGAACTCGGGAAGGGTCATGAGTATGAAATGGGAGATAGCCGACCCTCTGTCCAATTATAACTATCAATGTATCTCGCAGGAACGTTAACGAAGGACCAAGAGACGTATTAACGTTTACATGTACGCGCACTCCCCCCTAATCATCTATGCCCCTAGAAAGTTCAATCGACGCGAACGTCTGATGAACCGCATGGAACGGAGGAGATAAAGGAAAGATTTACTTAGAGCTAAGGGACAGATCGTCCTTTGATCTCTCCGAGTTGAGTACTATGTGCCGTTTGACCATTCGGTGTCGTGCAGGCAAATGCATGGACAGCGTACGTCTTGCGGTGTAGGTACAAAGTGTCGAACAGTGAGAATAGGGGAGAGATAAGTGGGAATTTCGAACCCAGCGAATGTCCTCATTTTTTTTGTTCTTGCTTGAAATGAAAGACCGGATTCGATGATCGGTGGGATTCATAATTTCACATTATGTGTGCATGCTGAGAAATTAATGATGAGTAGATGTAGATTTTTCTTCCACCATCGGAGGTTGTGGCGAGGGAAGGGGAGGTACTCGAGTCTGAAGTAAACCACGACGAAGTAAAGTCACTAGATACTACTTACCAATCTAAGGCTATGTGTAGATCAGGAACTGTACCAAGTAATGGCAAGAGGGGGTTGAACACTGATGGTTTCTCGATACGTATTACTGTCTTGATTTGGCTAAAAATAAAATCACTATTTCGAAGCTATATATACACACTACTACTCAAACTCTCTTAAGTTTTTTAGTTTCTTAACTTAGATCCAATCGGAGCCCTAACCCCAAGCTTGAACTTTGTGCCAGCCACAGCTGCGTTCGATTACGTCCTGCCGAGAAGTGCTACAAATTGCTACTGTATCATATATGACCTCTCTTTCGGTTTAGTGATATTCCACGCGAACAAGACCGGCGGTTCACGAGCTCGGAGAATGGCGACATAGTCTCCTCGAAATGTATATATTGACCCAATGAGTATGTATGAGTAGAAGGCTCGACATATGCGTGATCAAAGAGCCATGACAAATTTGAAATTTGAATGTTCACAGTAAGGCACTTTGGACGTCAAGCTTGAACGTAGAATTCCGAATGAATGACGAGTTAACAGACTAATACTAGTATGTAGTGATCTTGTCTTCTAAACGCACGGAAAGTTGCGGAAAGAAGATTGGTTTGTGCACGTAGCATCATCATGATAGAGTCTTGAACGGAGAGGTTTCATCCAACACGTAAAGTCCACAACAGACTTCATGGAATAGAGCTTCAAGTGAGAACTTTAAAGGGAGATTGGCGGAAATTTGGATTCAGCCCTTGTAACGGCGGGGTTATAGTAATGTGTCACTTCACCGATTTCCGCAATGAACAATCTTTGGAAATCCTTTTCTGAGCCTTCCACGAACGTCTGAAATCTATTAGACCTAAACACACTTAAAAATACTAACCTGAATTCATGCCTGAACCTTTGTCACACCTGTCTCATGCAATTCTTATGAGACCAACGAGGCCGACTGAAAGGAGGAATCGCAAGTTTTTGCCTCGGTCGGTCACCGATGTGGTCTTGTTTGTCAAGACCTTAATTACTGATGTGGTCCTGTTTGGATCAGAAGCTTCTGACTTCCTTGGTGGCACCGACTGCCTGGTAACACCCATTCCATTCCATGGCCTCGTACTTACCACGCTTGCGGTGGCCCACTTCAATTGGGATGCAACTTTCACCCGAGTCCGTCACCGATGTGGTCCTGTTTGAATCAGCTTAACAATTGATGGGCCCGTACCAGCCTTCGTGGTGGCTCACTTCAATTCATCCGACCAAGTCGAGTTGAACAAGTGTTCTGCGGTACAATTTGCAAAAGGGAATGTTTTTTACCAACGGTTCAGTGGTCTAGTGGTTATGATTTGTGTCTCACATGACGTGATCACACAAGGTCCCCGGTTCGATCCCGGGCTGAACCACTCTTTTGCTGCCTGACGCCATTCCCCTGGGCTTTGAATGTTCTCGTGCCTGATTGATGTATCATTCCGAGCCTAATTAAAATGTATGGGGCTCCTTCCGCTTGAGAATTAGTCAAATTGCACGAACGTCATTGATTCTTTATTTCAATGAAATTTTGCGTCATAGACAATCATTTTGACTCACCGAACGTATGGTGCTGGGGAAGGAGAGAAGATATGGCTCATTCAAATTATATTTAACCTTCTCACTTCGACATCGACATGTCCAGTAACCAACAAACAAACAGAGAAAGATGTGTGTTTTGATGCAGGCAACTCGTATATCAAGATGGCATGATTTCCTTTATATTCTCAGGCCTTCAGGCTCTTTACTGCAACCTTCAAGATGTCTGTACGACGACACTCTGGGGACACTAGTACTGGTAGACGCAGGATATCGGGGAACGTGTTGGTCCGTAACGTACTTCCATACAAGCTGTGGAAGGCTGTATATTAAGCAATGGAGAAAACGAATATACCTGTCAATGGCACACTGGAGCCGATTAGAGACGTTCGTCATGCGCCATCTACATCATTACCCCTGTCGTACCTTCCTTCGAAAAGGGCTAGGCCCAAAAATCAGACCTTATAAACCCAATTGCAAAACTCGTAGATAGTCCAACGACACTTTCATCCAACTTCCTTGTCTTACTTCCTCTCCACGATGTCTTACAACAACGACAGCTACGGTTCCAACAACAACGATTCCTATGGCTCTGGCCGTGGTGGAGGCGATTCTTTCGGGTCAAACAACGACTCTTATGGCTCTGGAGGCCGCACTGGCGGCGGATCGAACGATAACAGCTACGGCTCGAGCAACCGCGACAACGATAATTCGTATGGTTCCAGTAACAATGATAACTCATACGGATCCAGCGAACGTCGTGGTGGAGGCGAGTCCTATGGTTCGAGCAACAACGATAACTCCTACGGTTCCAGTGAACGTCGTGGTGGAGGCGAGTCTTATGGTTCGAGCAACAACGATTCTTATGGTTCTGGTGGTCGCAGTGGTGGTGATTCTTACGGTTCTAGTGACCGCAGCGGTGGCGATTCGTACGGCTCGGGTGGTCGTAGCGGTGGCGATTCATATGGCTCTAGCGAAAGTCGCTCTGGAGGTGGTCTCGGGTTCAACGACAACAACCGAGGAGACAACAACTACGGTTCGAGTGGCCGTGATGATAACTACTCGTCCTCCAACAAGGACTCGTACGGTTCCAGCGACAGGAACACTTCCGATTCCTACGGTTCCAGCAACCGTGACACTTCGGACACTTACGGCGGAAGTGGCAACAACAACAATTCGAGCTCGTACGGTTCCTCTGGAGACTCGTACAACTCTAGCTCCAACACCAGCTCCGGTCACAAGCCCGACATGTTTGACAAGGGTGTTTCGTACGCTGCAGAGAAAGCTGGATACAACATGGTGAGTGCCCGTTCTCTTCTTCCCTGAATTTGCCAAAACAAAGTCATTGACTTTTTCGCGCATATATCCAGGATGCGAACACTGCTGACAAGATTGGCGATGCGCTCAAGGGAGGTTTCGAGAAGTTCAGTGGTGGCCGATGTAAGTATCTTTCTGCTTTCCATGCATATATGCGATGTTTTTTTTCTCATTCTAACCTCGAACTCTTTCCCCCCCTCGATAGCTTAATATGGGGCCATCCAAGTTTTGTTAAAGACGAAGAAAGATTGAAGATTGATTGCAACTTGAAAAATTGTATCATTTAATCATGGACTCTTTTTTTCTTTCTCGTGTTCATCAGCGGACAAACTTCTTTTAAATTTAAGTATTTGGGTCTTTCGATGTAACCTATTTCGCGCGAACAAGAAGAAATCAGTAGAAATCAGTACAGCTTTCGGTTTGACAAAAGACGACGGTTATATGCAATGTAGTACAAGTAATTATAAACACAGTCGATAAGTTGAAATTGCAGTTTATAGATTGGTCCTAGAGTTAAGAAGGCCGTTTGTGATTAGAAACGTTGAATGTCTGCATGATCAGACAGACCGAACTTTGGGTACCCTTCTAGTGGTGCACGGAAGGGTACTCGTTACATTTGTAGATCCTACTGCACGCGCGCTATGCTATGCACGTTTAGGCCTGTGACTTATGTAAACCCTTCTGAATTCGAAGTTGTCTCCAAACGGAATTTTTCTTCGACAACAATAGTCTGAGCTTGTACGACACCTCTGTAGATTCGTATTGCGCTCAAGGGGGGTTCGAGAAGCTCGCTAAGTATCTTTTTTTACTTTAACTGCATACATGCACGGTTCTTATTGATTGCAACTTGAGAAATTGTATTATTTTGTCACAGACTCTTTCTTTTTCTTTCCCGTGTTCATCAACGAACGATTTCTTTTACTTGGGTCTTTCGATGTAATCTATATCACGAACAAGAAGAAATCAGTACAGTGTACAGTTTGACAAAAGACGACGTTCATATATGCAATGCACAAACAAGACAGTCGATAAGTTGAAATTGCAGTCAGGTTGGTTCTAGAATTAAGAAGGCCATCCGAGTCATAATTAGAAACGAGTTGAACGTCTCCATGGCCAGACAGACTGAACTATGGGTACCCTTCTAGTGGCGCACGGAAGGGTACCCGTTACGAAGATCTTACTACATGCTATGCACGTTCACGTTCGATATACATAGTGCATAAGTACTTATAAGGAGATGTGTACTTCCTATGTACACTTGTTACTGACTGCAGAAGTCCCGGACCGCATTCGAATGATTGACTTTCTTGCTATTTCTGACAATGGGCCGAACGTGCATCGAAGGCACGATGAACGTGAGTAGTCTAAATTGATCATTCGAAAAGCATAGGTCTAGAGGGGGTCCATGAATCGAATATACATAGGAATCTCCATTTTGCACAAAAAAAGGTACGTTTCAGCTGACCACTCGCTTAATTTCTACGGCGATGGTGGTTTCTAAAGTAAATGGTACACAGGCAACGGAGTATTTGGCATTCATATCAAGGTATGCCATTAGTCAAACATTGCATTAATTAGTTCTGACTCGACCGTACATACCCCACGCACGGGCTTCGACTGAAATCGATCGCGGATCAAATACTTGAAAAAAGATGTTTGATCAAACAATAGAGAGAGCTGCGCCGGCTCGGACCCGTCGTCCTCTCAGGAAGATTGTCGATAAGCAGATGGTGCTTCGCCTTCCTTTGTTTGAATCCACCATGTGCATGTTTGTCTATATACACATAGCCACTTAATATACGCGCTGCTTGAATCCTTCTCCACACACGGAATCGGCGACCAACGATCTATATAACGGATATTCATAGACCGTCTTGGTTTATACTTAACTACCGATTCGTGTTCCCCGAGCATTCAATTTCAGCGATAAGAGAGCAAGTCCTTCGAGTATTGCCACCGATTGAGATATCTGACTAGGACTTTTTGGTAAGCTTCGAATCGCGGATTTAACGCACTGGTGCTATGTATGTGAGCCATACTTGGGGAACAACTTCGATGGAGTCGACTTCGTGATAGAACACTCAAGGTCTAGAGCTTGAACGACCACTGGAAGGCAGTTAAAGGCCCCTAAAAAATCTGGTGAATCCTAAGAGATGTCAATTAATTAAGTACATGAAGTTACTTCTCTTGCAGGAAAATTAAAAGTAAAAGCTAGTGGTTGAACGTTACTGATACATAACGCTTCGATGTAGGATTCCCTCCCTCTCTTTCAAAAACGGAGAAAATCTTACACGTTTTGGAGTTGGGATACTACTGTGAATCCTAGAGCAAAAAATAGTTAACCGTTTGGCAGTGGCGAACTAGATTAGAAGTTCTTCTTTGTATGGGAAGACTCGGAGCTTACAGTCGAGACCATAGATACTAGTTCAAGGCTGTTACGGTACTTACTAGAGCTTGATGTGCAGTGTACATGTAGATACAAACCACAAGTATTTAATATTTAATAGTTTAGATGCTGTCCCGTAAGGTCTTATGTATTTTTTTCTGGCAGCAGGATTGAAACGTTACTTGAAAGTTGAATCGGAAATATCATTCCCGGAGAGAAAGGTTGGAATCCTATCTACCAGGGTCCACAACAAGTGGGATATGTTTATTTCCTTTCCAGAAAATTGATAGCAGCGAGGGAGGGAAGTCCCTTGGAGATCGGAACGGATGTGAACATAGGAGAAAAAAGGCAGATGCCGAATTGAATCTATCTTTAGGAAAGACTTCGTAGAGATTTCGGTCGTTCCTGAGACAACGGTTAGATCTGCTCGGTTGTACAAGGTCTGTAGGAGCTCGAGGTCGGAGAATTAAAAATCCCTTGTGGCCTTTGAAATTCAACAAGGAATGAATAGGTCACGACGATTACAATTATTGACCAGTGGTTATCTAAGGTTCTATCTGAAAGTTGTTACTCAGACTTCATCAAGAGACAGCATTAATCTCAGTTTGAGTAAAGCGGGAAGCTACCCTGCAAAGCTGAGGTGGCAATTGCGTAAAAATCATGTATGTCAATCGATAAAAGCTGGAATGGGAAAACTACCTAGAAAACCTCGTAGGTCGTGTTTCGCTTCTGCCAGGTTCACCGTTCCATGTTTCAATTAATAGATGCATTGAACCCGTTTTCCCGTTCATGAAAGACTGAACAACGCTCGAGAATTCATGTCAAAGCTTGGGATTGATACCGAAGGGTCGGATGTACTTGTAAGCTCTAAGTGCTCTTGCAGCTTTGGAGCGATAAGCACGATCGAAAATAGGCCTAGGACCAGCAAAGTTGTAACACGGTACGGGAGAATATCTGCCAAAGGAAAATACCTATCCGAATGTGGAACTATATATCCCCATGTATCATGAAATCTCTAAGGAAGCAGTATCAATACAGTACAAGTTCAAGTTCAAGTTCGTACGAATCGGAGTTTATCGGAGTCGAGCGGGGAGCTTAAGAAGGACATCCGAGGAGCGGCTTTATCGGTGCCGG